TTTTCGGATTTCCGGGCCCTGCAAAACAAAGGACACTGGGATTCGAGCGACTGCCTACAGCAAATCATACTGATCTAGGTGCAAAACGAGGTCGGAACAACCCCAAAACAAGGTAGGGCCATGACACACAGCTGGTTGAGCTCACAGACACGTGCCCTCGGAAAACAAGGTCAATGAGTCCAAACTGGTGGGATGGAAAACGAGATGGCAACACCAGACCATTCAACCATGTAGCAACTAACCACGGCAGGTGCTTGCCATTCTTTAGCCTCCATGTCCAGAGGTGTCCTGGGTCTGTTTGGGACACACCGCGCCCAAGGGTATCGATTGTAAGGCAAAGGGAGCTAGCTGTGCTTGAGGAACTGAAGTGCACAGGAACCCAAGGGACATATTTCTGTTTGTGTGTGGTGCTTCATATGGACATGGGTGGTGCACCTACCCCCAAATGGTGCCATTGGTTTTGACCCACAGCCATATTTCTGCGTGGTGTGTTGTTTCTGTTCAACCTAAGTAACTGCTGGGTGCCAGCCTCTTGGAGTATTCAGCTGCATGCGCAAGTCTCAAGTCCGAGATTGTAGGCGAGGCAAACGTGGAAACCCTGTCTGGTACATGCTGCAAACAGATAGGCCTGTTGCTGCGCATATTGTCCAGTCATTTCTACGTGCCTGTCCTCCACTTGCGTATGGGGTCACCTTTTACCATGTTGTGCCTGATCGTTGCTCCCTTTTCCTGCTGCGAGGTTGAACACCGTTTGAGCCCTATGAATCATTCGAATGAACCATCTTGAGACGTGGCCTTTGGTAATCCTGTTGAGCTTCTGGCGGCTGCGGCTCTCGCAGTCCTGGGATGGGGTAGGGATGGCAACAAACATTTGGAGCGCCCACGGAATTCGGGAAATGGGTGTTTTGATCGCGTCTACCCTCCCACCGACGAACATGGAAGTGGACAGACCGCTGTGGAAAGACGACACTCGTCGCTGAAAGGGGCTTTGCTCACTTCCATGTTGGCTGGTGGCAAAATAGCTACAGCTTTGATCCAAAGCAGCCAGCCCAGGTCGGCCAACGATCTGAGTTTGAGAAGTTTGTGACTCGATTCGCCAGCGCCTTAATTTCTAAGATTGCGCCTATCGGATCGTGCACTTGAGCTTAGCGCTCTCAGAAAGTGCGAAGAATTTAAAGGCATGTCAGGGTTGATCAAAAGGTCCTTTACATGGGATGACCATTGGAGAAACCCGCTAACAGCTGATATTTACCACTATATGAGAGAAGTTAGCCATGGTCATTTTGAGGCCAGGAATATTGATCAGCCCCCATGTGATAGAATAGTCAGGGACCTGAAGCCTGAGCCGAGCCATCTTCTGCCGAGGGGCTGCAAGTTCGACATAGATAGACGATTGTTTACGGTGCGTGCACAACTAAGTGCGACTTCACTGGGTAAACGCCAAGCTGCACAGCAACGGGTCTGTACCCAATAATGCGACTTGGGCGGGGAACTCATTCCACAAGAGCTGTCTCTTGTGGCAGCGTTCACCTTCTTCAGGCAGGATTTGTTTTAGTGACTTAAAGAGTTGCTAGCATTATGGCATTCAAAGGTGGACCTTTCTTGGTCCGCATGGGGAGAATGTGAGAGAAGGGGAGTCGAGGTCCGGAATAGTCCTTCTGGCTTAATTATGTGTCTTCCAAGCACTCTTTCTGGTCTGCTACTTTTTGTAGCCTCCCACCCACAATGGAACCCGCCGGGGTCTGGAAGACAATGCTTGTCTACAAACGGGGGCCCTTTGATGGGTTCCATGTCACGCAAAGGGTTGTCTCTCCAAGTGTTGGACTTCAATCCTCAAAGAGCCACTGTGATTCAAGGAGCTTCCATTGCATGCTGGTTTTTGCACGGCAAGCTTCCCTGGGAAATGGATGCCATGAAAAAAGAAGAAGATGTGTTCCCCTGGTAAGTGGATGGCATGAGGTGATCTTGTTGAAAAATAGATGGAAGGGTGTGTGGATATCAGGAGAGAAGAAGCCCGGGGTGCATCAACCTGTCTCCCCAGATCACGTTCGAGCCGGAGATCTAATTCCTCGCACACGGTTTTTGGGACCACTTCATTCTGGGACAGTCGCATGCCGCATCACCCGGTGACTAAACATAGGACCGTATGTTCCAGTCATGTGTTGGAAGCACACACCGACACACACACACACAGACAGACAGAGACAGACAGAGAGACAGACAGAGAGACAGACAGAGAGACAGACAGAGAGACAGACAGAGAGACAGACAGAGAGACAGACAGAGAGACAGACAGAGAGACAGACAGAGAGACAGACAGAGAGACAGACAGAGAGACAGAGACAGACAGAGACAGACAGAGACAGACAGAGACAGACAGACAGAGACAGAGAGAGAGACAGACAGACAGAGACAGAAACCAGAGACAGAGACAGAGACAGGGACAGAGACAGACAGACAGAGACAGAGACAGAGACAGACACAAACACACACAGAGACACATGCGGATCCACACACGCGCACCCACACACCACACCCACACCCGCACCCACACGCACGCGCGCACGCACACGCACACGTGCGCACACGTACACGCACACGTGCGCACACGCACACGCACACGTGCGCGCACGCATGCTCTGAGTGGCGGAAACAGAGTCCATGTGGCAGTGCACTCTGATTGCATCGAGACCAGAAGTGCTAAGCCAGAACATTTCGTGGGTCACGCAGAGACCTGGTGTCCGTGTTACTTCTGACGAATAGCAAGGCAAGAAACATGTAAAGAAACATACAAAACATAACATTGCCTAGGTCCAACCATGTTCCAAAATTAAGTTAAGCAGATGCAAGCGCCCTTTCAGAAAGTCGCCACAGGGTCGAAGAGGCGAGCGTCAGGATGAATCCAATGAGTTCTTTGCATCGCCGTTTGCGCTCAGGTTGCAACTCAGCTGGATGCGAGTCAGCAAACCAAGGTGAATGAGGCTCCACGAGTCGTGGAAGGTTTGCCAGCTCAATTGTGCTCCTTTGGAAGGTGAAGAGGTTAAACTTACTGGTTGTCAGGAAGTTCCACTGACCCGGAGACGCTTTGTTACGTTTTACCTATACCCATTTCTCCCTTTTGGTTCCAGCTGGTTGCCCACGTAAACGCGGACAGCAAATCAGGAGGCCCAGTCACTGCACGAGCAGTGATAGAGCACAATCAGCCAGGATTCTTGACTGCTTGGTAGGCGCGGATGGCAAGGAAGTTTGGCAAAGCTCCGATTAGCAAGGAAGGGCTAGCATAGCCAGTTCTCATAAGCTACGAAAGCATTGCCTGGGGCCATGCATGGCAAGTGGTGCTCAAAGGACGCCCCGACCACTGCCCTGTGAAAGGAAAAAACGAAGCTGAGAAGAACCTAAAGGGTTCGATTTGGGAAGCTTCCACCCGCCAGGCCTTCAAGGCTTTCGATGCGGACGGCGACGGGCATCTTTCGGCTGAAGAGCTTAGGCCGGCACGTCGGAAGGACCGGCCATTTGACCAATATCAAAACCACCTTTAAGTGGTGGGTTAAAGGGAAACCGCCTCAGTGTCCGACTTTGAGAACTCCTGGAAACAGTCAAAATAAGAACCCCAGTGTTGTTCAGTGGCATCGTTTTCCTCTTGTCGGGTTCCCCACCAAAAATCGTCAACCCCAAAAAAAGGTTCCCTTTTCACATTACCAGGTCGCTGGCAGCATTGGGTCAGGGACCGTTGAGATTTGATTTGTAGTGAACCGGCGAACCGCCACCAATCCCCAATCTAAGAAAGGGGCCATCTAGCGACAAGCTGTGGGGCAAAAGTGCCCTGAAACAACCAAGCATGGGACTTTCTTTAATCTCACCCCCTGATGATTGGTGACCTTTGAGGCATTTGTCAGGGGGTTCCTTGTTAGTTGCGCATGCTTCCTTCAAGGAACCCCCTGGTGGATTATGGAGAGGTTTGTCAGTCTGGGGTAGACATCAACGGAAAGCTCAGAGGACATTGCTTTCAGCAATCAAAACCTGTCCAATCTAGTCTAGCGTGTGGATGGCCAGGATTCTCGTTCAGTTCTGGTGAGTCTGGCCCAAAGTGTAGTGTTTCCCCAACTGAGATTGCCCCTCAACGTGTGGTTGGCGAACTTGGCAGTGTTGACAGGAGTTGGCAGGCCAGGGTTGAAAGATGGCAAGGTTGACAGGTTGACAGGTGTAAATACTGCCGACCCCAGACTAATCGACCTGATGGATTAGTATTGTTTTTCTTTCGAATTTGCTTTGCTGGTTACTTGCTGCCCTCAGAGTCTTTTAGCTCTAGGTCTGAATACTTGCAACAATGCCCGGCAAGACTCCACTCCACACTAACAGAGAACAGTGCGGTAAACGCAGCAACTGTGAACAGCCCTGCTCAAGTGACGGCCAGATTCAAAGAACAGAAGCCCATGGTATCCGCAACAGCCCGAACACCCGGAACCCTCTCTGGAACTGCCTGAAAGCTGCCCCCAACCACCCCGAAGCCTATCTGGGCAGAGACCCCAAAGCTTTCAGCTGTTGGGGGAGAAGTTGACACGAGATGAAGTGAACACTATCATTCGCTCTTCTTCTTTTTAAGAACGCACTATCTCAGCACTGTATCCACTCATAAACATACACGACACGACTTGCACATGTGCGCGTTCTCGCCTTGGAAGCTCCATGCGAGCTCTCGCTTCGTGCGATGTCGCACAGAGACCTTCCAGTGGAAGGCCAAGGCCAAATCTCCGGCAAAGCAGGACAGGTGGGAGCGTCTCTTTTTAGACCCTAATAATGGTGGGCTGTCCCTTTGGTTTCCCTCTAGAACCGCAAAAAAGGACTCTCCCAAAACAGGGCACTCTCCAAAGAAACAGAGAAACCCATGTTCGCCTTTTGCACTTAGGTCTGCCAGTTGTCCATCTATGGCCACACTATGGGTTTGTTGTTTCTTGAAGACTGTTTTCTTCTTGGAAAGGGAGCATACAGCACGCAGTTCCATGTTGGTGGGTCAGCCACAGGTGGGTGGCATACCAACTCCAGTCGATGTTTGAAGCCAGGAGGTGAACCGTCTCCTGGGCCGTTTGGCGCGTTGCGTGGCCTCCCACCCGCGGCATTCCGTCGTCGTGGGTGGTCCCTGGGCGCTGGTGCTGGATGCGCCGTCCCTGAGCTCCAGCAAGGCCCTGGTGGCCAGCGGCTTTCGCCCAGAGAAAGTGGTGGTGCCCAACGATTCGGACGCGGCGGCGGCGTTCCCCGAGGAAGGGCCTTGGGATTGGAGGGGGGGGGTTGGTCGACCAACCCCGGCAACTGGTGGTTGTGGAAGGGGGCCCCCCAGCAATTGGTGGTGGGTCAAAACCGTTTTGGGATCCCATTTTGGGGGAAGGTGCGCCACCCATTTTAGAACCTATTTTAGTGGGGATTGCATCGGATGTTCACTGGGGGTACGATTTGGGATTTTGATCCATGGCCAGGTGCCGTTTCTCGCCGCTTCTTTTTTGGTTGGGAGGGTTCCCCTACTAAAATAGACTACAGAAAAAAAAAAGTTGGTGCCCTTATTCTAACCTCTCCACTGGAGGACCTAGGCTGGTTTGGGGGGAAGGCGGCTGCGGAGCTTGCTTGGTGCCAGAGATGCAGGGAATGAGAGATGGAAGATATGAAATCCAACTGGTGGTTTCCTTTAAGGTCCCAAATCCCTAGGCTCATTCCGAAACAATGTGCTGATCGCCAGCAAGGGAGGTAGGTGTTTGATCGCTATTGGGTAACGGATCTTGAGACTTTAATTGTTTGGGGCTGAAATCTGTTGGGTTTTTCGAATTGAACCCAAGAAAATGTCCCACTTTTCGCAGACAGCAACCAAGGATTGGGGTAGGAGATCGAACATGAAGCCCTAGTGCAGGTGTGCCTGGGATGCTTCAATCAAGTCTGGTGGGTTTAGCGATTTAGAATCCTGGTGGAAACGTGACTCACAAGGTCACAGTTGATGTGGCTCAGGCGTTCGGTGATGCTAAGTAGGCGACAAATGAATCGAACAAGAATATCTACGAGACGCGACATCAAGCCAGCGCAGCACCAAGCTCTGTGACCCAGTTGTTCAGTCACACCCTTCAAACATCTTCAAATCTGTTTGAGCGCCCCCTCGCCCCCACAAAGCCACCGAAAAATCAACAGCCAGACAACCTGGCCCTTCTCCCCAGATGTCCCCCACAGCTGAATCCCCACTGGACTCAACAGATGACTCCACAGATGTCCCCCCAGATGACTCAACCCTTCCACTGGGGTCGCAGGATGCCGCGCGCTTTGCGCGGGTGCTGAAGGGCTTGAGCCTCCGCGAGTTCCTGCGCCGGAATCCTCCGGCTGAGCTGCCGGACTCCTTGGATGCGGAGAGCTTTGGCTTTGGGCCCTTCAGCTGTGACTTGGATGAAACGCGGATGACACGCGTCCCATTTGCGTTTAATAATACACGTAAGGAACACATGTACACTCACCTTGGGGAGGTCCCCTATGTTGACACATAGCTTCCATTTGCTTAAGAAGATGTGTTATTTTCCTTCGGTTCTAAGGGAAGTTATCACTACAGGTTTAGCAGTTTCTATCCGCAAGGCGTTGAGGATTGGAATTGAAATTGGCCTTCAATTGCAGGTCCTCATAAGCTGCAGTTTTATCATTCCAAAGTGGTTCAACTTAGATGGTGCAATATTGACCGGGTTTCCAGGGAAACACAACACCCTGCAGTTGGCTGGCTTTCAGTCCGCAATAGTCCGCACCACGTTTCATCCAACTGGTTGTGCCTCTCATTTGCCTATGGACAAAATGTTGATCTTGTGTCTTTTCCATATTCAGGGTCGCCAAAGCTTAATGCTTGCATTTGCTGGCATTGCACTTGTTGTTAGTTCTTTGGGTCACGCTGGAGCGGTTTCAAGTTTTTCATGCCCTTAGGATTTGGAGTTTCGTAGTTGCATTGGGTGAGGCCGCAAGTCGGGCCTTCTGTTTCATGTTAATGGTCTTGTTTCATTGGGTGAGGCTTGTGCAAGGCTGGGCTGGCCTTCTGTTCCGATGGTCTGCGCTGCTGTGCAACAGTTTCGTGCTTTGGTTGGGGGCTTTTCGCTGAGGCGTGTACTGCGACTTTACCCAGTGCCTCTGCTGAAGTGGCAAGCTTTTTGCTGGCCAGACAGGCCATCTTTCAAGGCTCATCTCAGTGAGATTGTCTATGGCGACCTCACGAAGGGCTCTTGGGACACCATTTGAGGTCGTTGGCTGAATTATCGTTGCCAGTGGATTTCTTTGCGTGCGCACGTCATCTTTTTGAAGGTGCACTCATTTGGGTCGTTTCAAGGGGACCAAAGGCACACCCCAGACCCCTTTTTCGATGGGGGTGATCTTTCCCATTCGGGCAAGACAAACTCACCTTTCGCGAAAAATATGGACCAGAATCCACACATCCATTTTGTGGATGGGCCAAACACAGCTTTCTGGTTGTCCCCCGCTTTTGCGGAACTCGGCCCGTGCTTGTCAGGTGCCTTTATGGCAGCTGGCGCCCATCCCAAGAGTTGGAGGACCCCTCCGCGCCCCTCGAACGCGAAGCCACGCTAAGCTCCAGCCCGCTGGAGGAGCGGCGCCTTCCGCGGCGGTGCCAGCTGCACCCCAATGCGTCCCCTCTCCTCACTTCCTTCCTCAGGTCATGAACTTTAAGCTTTTTGGGAAGACTATTGGAGTGGTAAGTACAAAGTTTGAACCTTTTTTGGGCCATCCACTCAGCAACTGAGTCTCCGGACGCCTCGGCAAACCTAGCTATGAGGGTGATTGGTTTGCTGCACGACGTGTTTCTCCTCGGTTATGTCATCCCTTTGTTTGGGTCTAAGATCCGCCCCATGGGTTGACGAGGACCTCCAGGCACTGGTCCCTCAGCTGCGATCTCCTGCGCTGCTGGGGGTGACCTTGGCTCATCTCCGCAATTCCCGGCGCCAGGAGAGATTTGGGTATGGGAATGTGAGGCTGGGATTCATTTGAGCCTATTGGCCTTATTGTACCTGGTGGTTCTCAGTTAGGCTTTTTGGTTAGGGTCTAGTGGGGGTTTCCAGTTTACCTACCAGAGGTTAAACTTTTAGCGATCTGAGGACAGCCCAGTTTAGTAGCTGGTTGGGTTCCTATTTGGTTCTATGAGGGCTATGGTAAGGCCTGCAGAAGTCTAGGACTTGGTCGCTGCTCAACCCAACAATTTGCAGTGGGCAGTCCCAACCGAAAATGGGTGGAGCCGCGAATTTTATTTTTTTACGGGTGGACCGCGTTGCAGCCAGTTGTTGAGTGTGACTCCATGTGGCTCCTTTGTAGGATACTACTCAGGGGTGGTTCCTCGTCAATAGTGGGGATATTTAGATATTTTTGGGGCATCGATTTTCCAAATTAGATATGGACCAAACTCAAACTTATTGTGTGTCCTTGGTCAGAGGCAAAAGTTGAGGCACGTGTGCGGCATACTTGAGTGCTCAACCCACTTGGTAAGTAGGCAACCAGGTTATAGGCTAATCGCAGATATGAGCCTGGTTGTTACCTACTTGACAGTTGGAGTGAACATCCAGATAGGGGGTATCAAAAGGGGGAATAAGCGAAACCAACCATTTGGGGTGTTTCCACACAAACCCGTAGGTGTCCCTTTTGTTTGAAGGTTGGTCGAAAAAAGATTCGGATTTCACTGATTTCAGCTTGCTTCTACTCATTTTCCAGTGCCATCCCTTTTTCAAAACGTTGTGTCCTACAATCGGGGAACAACACCCGTTGACAGGCTGATGTTGTCCAACATCGCTCAAGTTTTTTGTTAGCGGCATAAAGATTGTCAACAGGGAACACAGATTAGCCGGTCCACGCCTGAGTAATGGGCATTTGGCGTGGCCGATGGTCATTTGAACATTTAATGCGCACTTGCCCAGAAATAAAGCTTCACAGGTGGAAAGGCGTCAAAACCAGGACCTATTGTTGAGACGCGCCCATATTTAGCCTGGGCTAGTTTGACTCTCCACGGGGACAAGTCAGAGTGGTTTTACCACGTCGGCGTGCGCAAGGCTTCCTGAAGGAGTAGGGGCCAACGGGTAAGCCTAAATTGGCCAAGATTGTTCGTGCTTGGGAGTCCCTTTAACAATTACTTCACTGTTGTAATGTGTTTAGCTTTCTTGTAGTTCTGTTCATGTTCAGTGGGGGGGGGCTGCAGCAAAAAAAAACACCGCTTATTGCGACCATACCAGGGGTTTTGAAGATCTCCTTCACCAGCAACAGGAGGCGCAGTGGCCCAAGCTTCAGCAGATGCTGGCCACGGCACAGAGGGGCTGGAGCCAGGCAGGGTCCATGTGGTACCAAAAAACCCTGGGCCCCTGTAAGGTGATGCTGTGAATGGTTGCGAAATCCTCTTAGGCACCACCTAAGAAGCCATGCGGAAACCATGGTTTGTTGGTATTTACGGGGGGATCATCAGAAACCAGGGTTTGTTGGGTGGTGCAGGATTTCGTCCATCCGCAGTATTTCCAGGAAACCCTTTGCAGAGTGGTGATGATTCGCACAGCGTCACTTGGGGAGACATTGGAACTAGATGCTTGGCTTCATGCTGGTTGCCTTCATTCGTCGAAGGTCTGGAGGAGGCAATATGAATGACAAAATCCACCCATGATGAAGACTGCTTACAAAAGGACCTCCATGTTTGGTAAAATCGGGCCCCTAAGTGGCATCAGTTAAAATGTGATTGCTTCCAAAAGGACCTCCATGTTCGGTCTTGAATGGTAAAATCAGGCACCAGCTAAAAGCTAGGGTCAGTTTGGGCAGCCGAGCGCGAAAATTCACATGTCAGATTACAGCAAGACTTGCACCCAGGAAAGGTTGATTCCATTGATTTCCCCCAAACTTCCCATTTTGGGGACGGGGGTTGGTTTAAATAAAAGGACACCAAAAGGAAGCCACCGCTTTTGAGCCAATCCCAAAGAGACCCTCTTTCGTTGGCACGCGGCCCACCCCTGCAGGCGCGGGTTGGGGATCGCATCGAGCTGAAAGCGGTGGCCACGGAGTTCTGGCTCTTAGGAGAAGACGGCCCCGACTTCCGGGAGCTGCAGAAGGAGCTGGAGCAAAGCTGGCTGCGAAGTTAGGTTTGATTCCCCATTCTCAGCCATCGGTTCGTAGAAACCGCCCATTTTTCGAGGGTTTGGCCCCCCGTTTTTTTTTTTTTTGAAGAGAAGGTTCCGTGAAGAGAATGGGGAGGGGTACATAAATCGAGCACGTCACTCGCTCCCCGAGCTCCGGAACTCGGACTTTCGTCGCGGCAAACAAGAGGTTTGGACTGTTGGTCAATCCACTTAAGTGAGAGTGGAACACGTGATGTGTCATTGGCCCTAAAGGAAACCAAACTATTGTTGGCCCCTTTCATCCATGGTTGACTGACCACCAAAAACAGATCATCCATTTTCCCAGGGGTGAAGGTGGAAACACAAGCGCGGATACTTGCCGATTAGTTTTCCAACCTTCCTATTCAACACTCAGCAACAAAGCACAAAAAGGTATTCTCTCGTCCTTGCACTGAGCAACCCTGGCCAACCGGATCCGACGAGTAGCAGTTGTTCCGCTTGGTTTGAGACACAACATGCAGCAGCCCAAATCAAAGCAAACACAACTGGAAGAATGGGTCATGCTTTTCAGCACTGGGTAATCTGGAGCGCGTTTCTTAGATTGCCTGCTGCCCAGTTGGGCCCAGCGAGAAAAGTTGCGGCATGCTGCAGGTGTGGAAGTAGCAAGGCGGCTGATAGTTGCATTCCTTTCCAGGCTGCAAGAGCAAGTAGCTTGTGCACTGTACAGATATGCTGCAGCGCTTCTTAGCTGCCCGGGATAGCCCATTCCGTTGGGTGATGTTCAGAAAGAATCAAGCCAGAACCCTCCATACTTGCGGATGTGTTCGCGCAAGGGACCCCTTCAAGTTGTTTGTTTCATGTTGGTCAAAGCGTCCACCAAAGGGCCTCCAGTTTTGACACAGGGAGAAGAAACTTGCTGGTGCTCAGTAGGGAATGACCCACAGTTTTGAGAAGGAACCTGGGGATTGCCTTAAAGGAAGCCATAAAAGATAGTTATATGGGTCATTCCCTCATTCCCTGCCTATCGCACCAGCAAGAAAAGCAGGCACCCAGACAACCTTCGGAGCTCTGCGGATATGGGGGTTGATCAATATTCCTGGCCTCCAAATGACCCTGGGTAACTTTTCCCATGGGAAGCATTATCTTCCTAGCGGTCATGCCCCATGGTCATCCCATGGTTTACGGACCTTTCGATCAACCGGAAAAGAGTCCGGGCGCAAAGCTGGAGGTATAGAGCTGCTCCATCAAATTGACGGGTGGTTTGGCATCTTGCCTTTCGCGCCCACGCGAAGAACGCGCAAATTTTGTTTTTAGCTCCTTAGTTTGGGGCATCCATCAAACTGGGATGAGTTGCCAGATTGGATCTTGGTTTCCTCACTCCCTGTGCACCTCATACTTGTTGAGAAGACCAGTTTAGTCTGTGGCAACAAAAAGGTTGGACCTTTTTTTGGCACATCCACTCAGGAAGTGGGTTTACAATGGGTTGAAGGTTGATCCAGCTTTCCCATCAACAACCGGTAGCGGGATGCTGGCTTTCACCCCGGGGTCGATGTGGCATGGGCCCGCTTTTGCCAGGCAAGGCCTGATGCAATTCGGGGCCCAGCCAGAGCAGGCGGAAGAGGCAGGTGCTTTCTGGCTCCGGGACCCGGGACGGGCAGAGGCCAGGAAAAACGGGCGGAAATCGGAGCCAGCCAGCTAAACTGACATACTGTGGATGGACGAAATCCTGCACCATCTAAGAAACCCTGGAATGATGAAGCCCCCGTAAATACCAACACACAATGGTTTCCCACGGTTTCAAAGTGGTGAAGGATTTCGTCCATCCACAGTAGATGAGTATGTCCGCCCCTGATGTTCCGATAGGTTTGGGTAGACTTCTTCGGTACCCGGTCTTAATTGTGGCACAGTTGTGCAGTCAACCTGGAGCAATCTGGAACTTGTACAAAGGATGTACCTCGTTTCACTGCCCAGAGCTTGTCCTCAGCTGGTCTGGGGCTTAGCACATCCTAGCACAAAGTTCTTGCCATCAGCCTGCCCTTGCCCATGGAGAAATCATCATTGCCCGGAAAGTGGAAGGTTCAGAAATCGCACAGATCAGAGATTCACCGTTGGTATGTTTAGGGGATCATTGCACACCACAAGTCCGAATGAAGCTTCCCTTTCTCACCTAACCCCCGCTTGTTTCCCGTGCCCATCTCTTCCTGGATCCCAATCCATAATATAAACAAATGGCTGTGGGTCGAAACCATTGGTACCATTTCGGGGGTGCACCGCCCAGTTTAGTCTATTTCGGTGGGGATTGGGATGTTCACTCGGGGTACGATTTGGATTTTGACCCACAGCCAAATGGGTATGGGTAAATATTGTCATAGTGTTTGGGATTGGAGATCCAGGGCCTTGGCAACTCACCAGCCTGTATCTCACGAGTTCACGAACTAAACGCTTTTTGGAAGAACCACAGATTTTAGCGGTAAACAATCAGTTCTATGGCCAACCCACTCTGGTAAGTCTGGCAAGTGGGTGGTTTTTTTGGGCCAATCCGCTCAGAAAGTGAGGCATTGGTGTGCTTCCGGCCTTCCGTCCGGCCAGATCGTCAACGAGTTGGACGTTGGCCGAACCGGCCAAGCGCCGGGCTCGGCTCGTCGGCTGGCCGTGACGTTGGCTGGCCGTTGGAGCGCCGATGCGGGCTTGAGTCGCCTTTTTGGGGGTTGGTGGCCATTTCAGTGGCCAACCGAAAGTTTGGGCCAACCCACTCAGGAAGTGAGTGGGATGTGTTAGCCATTATCTTCAGTGTATGACGGTTTTTGTTTTGTGTCATGGGAGAAGCGAGCTATACTGTGCTGTCTCTATGTTCATCTCTGCGGCTGCCGGAGGTTTCCTACACGGAGTTCCTCGCCGGCATCATTAACTTGCGATGCAAGACGCCTGAGGAGTGACACAAGCAGAGAGCTGTATCCTTAGACACCCTATTTGAGAAGATCCGTACAAGTAACAAATAAGCAAAACAAACAAACAAACAAACAAGCAATCAAACAAAGAACCAACCAATTTAGAGGGGGATCAGAAGTGAGTGGGTCGCAGGAGCAAGACCGACTCCTGTGGATCGCTTGGGAGCAGTTCCGCCCCGGCGTGAGCGGCCTGGCGCGGGGCCGAGACGCGAGACGGGAGACGGGCTTCCTTGTGTCTTCCCTGTCCATTTGCTTGAGTCAATATGAAATATACTACTGTGGATGGACGAAATCCTGCACCGCTTTGAAACCATGGGCAACCATAATTTGTTGGTATTTACATGAGAATCATCATTCCAGGGTTTCTAGGTCCCCAATATGGCCATTGGTTAAAAGCCCGTACTCTCCATGAACATCCGATTCAATCCCCACCAAAAAGGTTCCAAATGGGTGGTGAATTCACCTACCCCAACATGGGATTGGTTTTGACCCACAGCCATATGAAATATACGAGGTCCCCTAGTAGTGCCCTTCTCTCCCCTTTTTTTCTGTGGATGGACGAAATCCGTTCGCACCACCTAAGAAACCATGGTTGAAACCACTGTTTGTGAGTATTTACAGGGAGTCAGACTATCCCAGGGCTTCTTAGGTGGTGCAGGATTTCGTCCATCCACAGTATGAAATATATGGGCCATGGGTCATGACCTATGCCTCCATGATGGGGCGGATGAACATCCATGTACTGCCTATTTTGATGTTCACCAGCATTGCAGGGGTTTGACCCACAGCCATGTGTGTTTATCTTCCGCTGGTGGTTGTAAAGGAAATCTGTCACTACTGGAAATATGTGTGGGTTTTTCCTTGGGACTGCAGCCACTGGAAGGTATGACCGCTGAATTGTCATCCACCCAGCTGATGCCCAGCTCCTTTCACCCCAGGTCAAGGTGCAAGACATCCAAAACGCCCTGGCGACGCGCGGCATGACCGCCAGCGGCCCAGAAGACGAGCGAGCGCCGACCGTGTGATTCGACGGGGCGCGGAAAGCTTCGGTTCTGCAGGTGGCCGATATGCCAGATGGATTTCTGGCCGCCCTCAACAAGGCGCGGTAGAAAGGTGGAAGCTGCGTGCCGCGGTCGGAAAAACGAGTGGATGGGCCGATGGACCCCCCCCACTTCTCCACCAGGCAGTTCCCACCCCTCAGGGCGTTTTAGTGAAGACTTGGCGAATTTGACATTGGGAAGGTTGTGCACGGAAGTGGTTGCGTTTCATAAAGACATGCCTGCGCGTACCGATCCGCGTCCGTTGCCCAGTGGCACCTTCGCTGGCAAGGCTGCATGACCCCGAATCCATTGAGGGTATTCCCTTAAGGAATGTATGGGTAAGGCCGCTGGAGGATGGATGTTCCAAGGCAACTGAAAAGCTGCGCCATTTGGATCCAACTTATTTTGACGCCTGCGAAGGACCATACCCAGTATATCTCCTTTGACTCGCTCAGCGCTCAGCTTTCCCGCCTTGAAGTCCGTGTCTTGCACTTGGATGGCAAAACGAGCGAGTGTAACACAATCCAGCATGGCCGTTTGATTTCTTGTTTGCATGGGCTGCCCTTTCCAGGAGAGCTGGAGAGTGGGGAGTTTGGCCAGCTAGAAAGCCCCAGCCACTCGGAGCTGAGGTTTAAGTCGCTGTTATTGTTTGATGGACCTGACATGGCGGGTGCCTCAGCGACAGCCAAGCACCAGGGCTGGGGTTCAGTAAAGGGTAAGCCAACCTCAAAAAGGACATGAACGTGGGGGTTGGCTCATACTCAAGAAAACCCCGCGGGTTCATCAACGTCGTGTTGCAAAGACGAGTGTTCCAATTCGGGGGCGCCAAAGTCAATTTGTGTTTGGTTCTTTGCTTGATGAATCTAAGATACCTTCACAGGTGTCCAAGTTGCTGATATGCAGCACGCAGTCAGCCAGACTTCTGGTGGCCACTGTGACTTCCTCGGCTTTTGAGGGCTTGGTGTTCTGCTGTGTGACACAAATACGGGGCCTTCGGCACGACACCAATTGGTGACATGACCTGCAGTCTCCCCAAGCTCCAAGTCTTTCGGTCCGCAACTTTGAGCCAAGTACCCACGCCCTCCTCATATGGATCAATGATTGCGCTGCACGGGTTCCGTGCCGCAGTCATTGCTGCAGGTGTGATCCTTTGTCTGTCACTCACACTTTCGGCCATGGGTGGAAGCAATTCCAGCCTAGACCGCGCGGGCACGCGCAAGTGCTCGACGCACTTGGGGGAGGTTGAGGTTCAGATACTTGGCCCCGAGGAGTCTGAAAAGCCGCTTATCCTGGCCCTGCACGGCATGTCCTCCGCCGACTTTATCCTCCGCGAATGGGACGCCATAGCTTCCCAGCTGGCGGGTCAGGGCTACCGGGTGGCGCTGCCCAATTTGCACTCGAACCCGAAAACGGCGCCGAAGATGTTGGGCGGAGTGACAGAGACAGATGCGGCTCAGCTGCTGCAGATGCTGGTCTCCGAGTTGAGTCCACTGAGACCCATCGTGCTGATGGGTAAAAGCTGGGGCGGCGCTACTGCAGCCAAATTCGCACACCGCCATCCTGACTTAGCCCCTTGGATCGATCTCGGTGTTTCCCGAAGATCGACCTGGTGTCGTTGTTTTTGTTGGAAAGCCCATAGAACCTCCTGAAAAATCGTCTTTTCAGGGGATACGGTCCATATCCTGGTGGTTTACTCTTGACCCATAACCTTTTCTCCCCAACAGAGACGAGGTCCAGGGGGTTGCGGGGCTGTTGGGAATGAGTTGTTGGGCGCAGGTGGAGAAGTTGGTGCTGGTTTGTCCTGCTTCCACCCCTCCGCTGGATTTGCGCCTGCCCTTGCTGCTTCTCTGGGCCGAAGACGACTGGGTGACCTGGTTCAGACAGGGCGTCCGCGCCTACGAGGAGTGTCCCCAGTTGACTCTCCAAAGCTCCAAGAAGGGCGGCCACCGCATTTTGCCGGAATACTGGCAGCCGCTGCAAAGCTTTCTAGCCCCGCAGTGAAGAAAAGTGGAGCCAGATACGTCCGCCACAAGACATGCACACCTCATTGATAAGTTTGCCTGACCTCTTCAGTTGGAAGGGCGTCAGGTGGCCCATGGCAAGTGGCCAGCCGTTTCGGGAGTGGAAAAAGCCTAGAGTCCGTAGCCCGGTGAAAATACTCGAAGAGGGTACAGGGCCAGAGGGATTGAGAGAGCGAGAGAGACAGAAAGAAAGATAAACAACAAGAAATGCAAAGAAACAACCAATTAATTAATGAAATAAACACAGAAATTATACGAAAGGAAAGGAACTGAAAGGAAAGAACAGGGAGTCAAGGGGGAGGAAGAAAGAAAGGAATGCAGAGCAAAAAGCAGTAGTTGAATGAGGTAAGGTAGGGTAGGGGAAGGTAAGTAAGCAAGTCAGAACGAAAGAAAGAAGGAAATAAGCTTGCTGGTGCTCAGCGGGGTGGTTCTTAGCAGGGAAAAAGAAATGGAATGACCCCAAGAAAAGCCATCCCCTATGGTTACCTTGATTCGGGAATCCCAAGCCGGTTCATTCCATTTCTCATTCCCTGCTTATCGCACCAGCAACAGCGATCGGCAGGGAATCTCAAAGTGGAACTGTTCAAGAGGGCACTGGGTTCGAAGCCCAAGGGCAAGTAAAGACTTGGTGGCTCCCAGCCATCCGGTTCCTTGGCTTGTTGGCTTTTTAGTGTGTAGTGGTAGTTTCCATTTAACCCACTAAAAGTTAGCCACTTTTAGCGGATCAAAAAAAAGGGCCCAGAAGAAAGAGAGAGATACAAAGAACCCAAAAGCTTCCGAGGACCTGGCTGAGGAGAGAGGCCGTGGCGCCAAGTTTCTGCGGCCAGACCGGCGCGTTTCTTGTTTCTTTCTTTTTGGAAAGGATGGGTGGCGGTGCACATTGGGTGCTTCTTTTTTGGGGAAACGGGGAAATACCCCTGTTTGTTGGTTTTAAAGGAAAACCAAAACAGCACCCCTTGCCATGTTTGGGGAATTTTAAGACACATATTGATGGCGATAGGGTTGAAGCGTTCGCAAGTTGCGGAAGATGGATGCCAACAATACCGCAAGCAGCCAAAGAGGGATCCTTGTTTTGGTGTTGTTATGTGTGTTTGTCCTGTCGTTTCATTGTAACTGTCCTTTCTCCAGCAACCATGGAAGTGGACAGGGTTCCCTTCCCCCCAAAGGTAGTCTTCCAGAACCCGTTGCCCAGTGGCGCCCTTTTTCCTCTCTTTTTTTGGAAGGGTCCCCCTTTAAACTTTAAACTCAACCAACCAAGAAATCAAAAAAGGACGCCGTTTTTTACCATGGCCACTGGGCATCTGAGTCCAGGGTGTTTGGTAGCTGGCTGTCCCTTAGTCAAGCGATTGATTGCTAAACCATCAAACTGTTCGTACCCTTATGTGAGTTTGTGCATTGAGCCATTCGAGTGCTGAATTGTGTGACAGCCAGGTGGATTATGCAAGCCGTGCGATGACAGCTTTCCCGCCCAGAATGATTTTCAGAACCGAGCAGTGGCAAACGACTCCTTTCTATTTACTCCTCAAGCATATTATGCCAGACAGGCTGAGCATCTGAATTCACGAACACGATGACTCTGAACTGACTCAAAGAGTGGAGCCCTTCCATTGCTCCCTGTTGTTATTACTTTTTGAGCGGGGCAAGGGGGTCAAGACTCCATAGAAGTCCAGCTTTTTTGCAGGCAAGCTTGCCTGCAAGTTGAGGCAAACTTCCCCCTTGCCTTTCAAAGAGATCTCTTGTGGAGACGGGTTTGTCTACGCAGATGAGGATGATTCGTAACCCTGAGCGTGATCTTTGGTTGCCCTTCAAGGCAATCTCGAAGAAAGACAAACCCAGATGTTTGCTCACTGCTCGATTATTTTGCCTCAGTTGCAACTGAGCACAACACCGCACAGATGTTTCACTCATGACATTATGCCCCCCAACAAAAGGCCGATCGCCCATCAAAATGAAATCAATCATAGAAATTTAAAGCATGTTTTGTGGCGGTGTTTATTTCGGACGTTATGACGTGTCCAACATGTTTGAAACTTTAGAGCCTCCGGCTCAGTCCGCCGACATTGTCCTCTCCCTTTTCTCCTTCTTCCTCTCTTCCTTGTCTCCCTTGTGTGTTCTGTCGTCCTCTCTCCCTCCCTCTGCTCCCATCCTCCCCATCCCCCCAAGCCTCTCTCTCCCCAATCTCCCTCTCTCGCATGCATGCATGCATGTACATATGTATGTATGTATGTATGTATGTATGTATGTATGTATGTATGTATGTATGTATGTATGTATGTATGTATGTATGTATGTATGTATGTATGTATGTATGTATGTATGTATGTATGTATGTATGTATGTATGTATGTATGTATGTATGTATGTATGTATGTATGTATGTATGTATGTATGTATGTATGTATGTATGTATGTATGTATGTATGTATGTATGTATGTATGTATGTATGTATGTATGTATGTATGTATGTATGTATGTATGT